AAAAATTGTCCCCTCTAGGGCAGCGTGCGCCGTTCCTGGTTAATTAACGCAAACTACTGTATATACTACCAACAAAAGATGGGCACAACTACATCCGGAACGACCCTAACACCTGTTCGTGTCCGGTTTTTTTCCTGTTAAATTTGGATGATAACAGCCATCTTCAAGTCAGTAGAGATGAAATATACCCTTTACGTTTAAACATGGAACAAAAAAGATGAAATTTTGCTTACGTGTAATATGGTTATAGAAGAAACACACGTCATTTCGGCAAATGAACTGACGAAAAGCCACCGAAGATCCCTCAAAATCACTGCAATTCCGTATAACATACACGCATAGGAGTGCCCGAATCTTTTTTTGTTTCGTTTTTTGTGTTTCTGGTTTTTATTAACAGCAAGGCATCAAGCTCGACGAATTATCTCCTGGCAAAGTGGAAAATCGAAGTCAATACTGAATTGTTTCCTACTGTGAGACATCAAACAATATTCGCACAATGCACTGCTTAGAATGTCTGTGAAACAGTAACTCTATATCGCGGAAAAGACAGATATTGACATATCTGTTAAATACTATCAAGTGATCTTCAAACATCTTAAACCGGATCGTGAGTAAGTTTTTTAAATCTACATAAGCTTGTATTAATTACGCATAGGACACTTCAGGTTGTGATATGAAAACTTTTCCGAGCGTTTTCAAGTAAAAAAAAAAAATCCAATTTTTTTCAGAGGTAACTGATAGTTCTCTAGATCTGTTCACGGATTAATACAGCAACCATCGTTTTATTTTACACGTAAATGTCTTTATCATCATAATCGATATTTCTTAAAAGCGTCTAACAGATAAGCAATATGATCTGGCCTGAAAATCGTCTATATTCAGCTCACGTACACTTGTCCTTAATGTTAAATGAATTTGACCAAAACCTGTTCTTAATAACGCCTTTTGTTCCACATGAGGATTAGATGAATCATTAGCATAACACAAGTTATCAAAGGAAAAAGGGGCGATATCTTAAATGTGAACATAGCCAGCCTACATGCAAGTACATGCGACATCGTCTCAAAGGTAAGCTAATGTTTTAATATATTTTACCTGCGTCTGGCACCGTACAAATGTGTAATTAATTGTTGTCTCGGTAAATATCGAAAAGTCAGACGAGTTGTGCGTGTAAAACTAATTTTTACCAAAACTCGGCCTTTGTTGTCAGTTTTTGTCCCCGACTCGGCCGCAATATCAAGTTATTAGCATAGAAGACAAAACTATTTCAAAGCCAGAAGTCTATATAAGAAGGTAGCTCGAACTACCGAAGGAAAACCTCAAGTTTTTTTATTTTATGATCTGTTTA